GTACCTGTTAGAATAGCTAGGTACTAAAAGATAAAATATAAGTGTTGGTGAGGTTGTGGAGAAAAGGGAGCCCTTACATACTGTTGTTGGAAATGTAAATCAGTACAATCACTATGAAAAACAGTGAGAAGTTTCCTTAAAAAACTAAAAATAGATCTACCATATGGTCCAGCAAGTCCACTGTTGGGTATATATTCAAAAGAAATGAATCAGTATGTTAAAGATATATCTGTACTCCCATGTTTATTGCAGCACTATTCAAAGGCCAAGACAAGGAAGGAATCAACCGAGGTGTCTGTCAATGGGTGGACTGATAAATAAAATGTGGTATATACACACAATGGAATACTATTCAGAAATAAAAAAGAATGAACTCCTGCCATTTGAGGCAACATGGATGAACTTGGATAATATTATGTTAGGGGAAATAAGCCAGGCATAGAAAGATGAATACCACATGATCTCAGTAAATGTAGAATTTAAAATAGTTAATTCCATAGGATAGAGTGGAATGGTGGTTACCAGAAGCTGAGGTAGTTAGGGAGAAGAGGTGAATGGGGAAATGTTGGTTGAAAGATACATAATTACACTTAAAGAGGAGGGAAAAGAGAAGTTCAGAATAGGCAAATATAGAAACAGGTTATGCCAAAGTACAACCACAGAAAGTTGGTAAATGATTGGCTGGGACCAGGAGGTTGGAGGGCGGGAGGAAAGAGGATGAGAGGAGGGAAGTTAGAAATGACTGCTAATGGTTGTAGAGTTTTTTCTTGAGTTATGAAAATGCTATACAATTGATTGGGTGATAGTTGCACAAAAACCATTGGACTGTACTTAAAAACCATTGGACTGTGTACTTTAAATGGATGAACTGTGTAATATATGAATTCTATCCCAACAAAGCTGTTTGTAAAAGAGTTCATTCTTACTACATCTACATTAGAAGACATCCTAACTTTATATAAGTAGTCTATTGCTGTATTTCAGGTAAGACAGGATAGTAATTTAGATAATGGTGATGACGACGGATAGGGAGCAAAAGTAATGATATTGATAGACGTTTAGAAAACAATATTGACAAATAAAATGAACAGTTGATCATAACTTCAGCATAATGCTTATAGACATTTCAAATAACTATAAAGACTGGAAAACCTTCCATCATTTACAAATTCACATATTCACCTGGTGATCCTTTTATTCATTTGTAAAGGTAGGAATCAAATCCGGTTTACCTGAATTCCTTAACAGTATTTTTTTCATAACACATATATTACATTATCATTGATTTCCTTATTAGATACTTAGCTGTAGATTAACCACTAAGATTTAAAAAATCAAAATATAAAAAAATGAGTTTTATTAATTCAAACACAATGCTGAATGGCAGCAATTGGTTTATGATCCTCATAAACAGGTATAATTAACATGCTCAACAAGAAATCTGTACTAAAAGGGCTCAATGGATAATGAAGCAATCAGGAAGATGTATGATTGCTGCTTCTGAACACACCAGTTTTTCATATTTTGACTCTGAAATTAAGATAAATAAGTAGGCTTAGTGGCAGCAATATAACTATAAAGTTAACTTAGATGCAGTTTTTGCTAAGAGGCAAATGTATTTGATCAAAATTATTGTTAACCACATCTTACTGTCACTTAAAATGGTTCTGAGTAATTTTATAGAGAGATTCTTCTGTAGACAACAATGCTGATTATTAGAAAATGAAAGTTTTAAATATTTGGTCATAATTTTAATAATAACACAAATATTGCTAGTAAAAGTCTCAGTTCAATCTGATACAATAAATGTAATTGAATTATTTTCTATTGAAAGTCTTTATTTCTCCAGGGAGCAGAAACTTAGTCTGAGACACCTTTATGCTAAGATTGGGTTGAGGTGATACGTTCCTTACCTGGGGTCAGGGTGTGCAGGGTGCAGAAACTGGGACAGGCCAAAGGACTTCTTCTCATGGTAGTTATCTCTCCATGCTGACATCTGCTGATATCTCAGTCAGCCTAGGTCACAGTGAGCTATGCATGTGTCATCTCTGGAATAGATATACCATTTTGTGGACACAGAATGTATTCCCTAAGCAAAGGCTACCATGATATTAGTTATTTACAGTTCTAAGACCAGGTACATGAGAGAATAAAAATAGATAACTTACTGCAAACCAGTCAACTCAAAGATGTACCCTGCTGGTACAATGTTAAGAACATACATAAGCACAGTGACTTTGACTGAAATCAAAGTCATATGTAGTAATGGCCATTTGTATTATATTTTTAAACTTTAAGGAAATATAATGAACAGATTAAAAAGTCAATTCAGGAAGAAGCAAGTCAGAGTAAAACAAGGAGCTAAACAAAAAATAATAGAGGAAAATGCTAAAAGAATTTATGAATATTTGTAGAAAAGGCTCAATTATGCTTGCATTCAAGTGTTACCAATTATAGCTTGAGAAAAAGGGCAGGGATGTTTTCTGGTCATTTGTGTTTACGTTCAAATTTAGTTTTCTGCAACATAACCACACAAGTCTGCAACATGGAAGGACAAGTGGTCTTGTTTCCCTGGCTTCATTTTTTTTTTTTTTTTGTATGCATTGCCTCACAACTTCATATCACAGTATGAAGATTGTTGAAGGGGGGAAAAAGAGATGCCTAAATCACTTCTACTTAACAGTGAAAATAAATGTGTCTACAAAAGTCTCTCCAGGCATAATAGTTTGAGGTTATAGTTCTGCAATTTTGCTGATGTGAAAGGCATTGCTTTTCCTGGATTTGCAAAGTTGTATTCCATTTATATTTTATTTGCAAGGAAGCATGAGCAAAACAATTTTTGATAAACACAAAAAGCTGTGTGCCTCATTATATTGGATGACAAGTGAGATCTTACAGCTTTGCATCAAATCAGTGGAAAAATAATTATCTGCAAAAAGTATGTGCAAACATTTTTCTTACAAAGCTAAGATTCAAGGCAATGTGTCTGGAATTTGTTTCTCCCTTTAGGCTGCCTCCATTCCATGAAACATCTGTCTCAATTTCCGCTCTTCCTGGAGCCTCCTTTTGGTCTCTCTACAAATCCATTCCTTCAGAATCTGCCTCATTCTGACCTACAGATGGAAACCATATGTCTTTCTGTTTAAGAAAATGTGCCCAATCTACTCAGCTGAAGTTTTCTGGCCACGCTTTATAGTATCTTCATGTATGGCTCCTAATGTATCAAATACAGTATAATCTGCTTTTGTTTTGATTTCATGCTTTAAATAATTTAAAGTATGTATTAGAACATTCACTGATTCTTCTCGGATAATCTCTAAACATAGAGCTGTGAATTAGATATATTTTGGACAAGTAATGTTTGAAAAAATTATACTTCAATAAGTACTTGCTGATTGCCTATTATGCTTACAGCCTAGAGGTACACAGATAAAAGACATGACATGCTTTACCATCCAGTAGGTTTGGAAATACAGAAAACAAATAGAACCAATGTAATACAGAGCAGAAAAAGCTGAAATAGAGAGACTCTATGGAGGCACAATTCAGAAATATAAGCTAATAAAAGAAGTTTTAGTGTATCTTAAAAAAAAAATTCATTTGTGCTTTGCAATGCATTTAAATCTATTAAAAGTGATATTTAATAATAAGTGTATCTTTAAAATTTGGGGGCTATTCAAACATCTAGAAAATATCTGGTCTGAAAATATACCTGTGTTACAGATGAAAGGCATAGTTTGCACATCATTTGGTATTAAGTAATACAGAAAATAATTTAGATGTTTCTTTACTTTTTTAATGAAAACAAATAAAGAAGAAAGGTGAGAAGCAAAAGGCCACATTGGCGTGGTCAAAGGACAATCTGGGATTTCTGGGGATACACAAGGACATTGGACCACAAAGGGTGGGTCCTGGATGTTGCCACCCTAATTACCTGGATCAAATTTTCAGCCCAAGCTTACAAGGCCATCAGAGAAGTAGACATTTACTAAGTAACACAAGAAATAGACATTCAGACAAGGGGAGGAATCTGAAAGAGAAGGTTTCTTAAAAATCCAAACAGTATCCTTAAAAGCAATGAATCCATTACTTAAAATACACAACTTAGATAAGCGCAAAGGGGGTATAATCTAAAATATAATATCTATAAAATACTATTTGAATAATTTCATAATTTTATAACTGCCTCCTAGTGTCAAATCTCTCAAAAAAGTCTATTTTAACATTCCTAGATATTGTAATATTTGTTATTTTAATAATATTGAAGACACATGAGAAATGGCATATCATAATCAAATCACAGTTTTTATGTCACTATATATTTTAGTTTAGTTTAAAGAATACTTTTCAGTAAAATATTATTAGAGAAACTGTAAGTCATTGGTCAGGAACAGAATATTTGAACCTAGGAAATCAAGGATTGAATGGACAGGCAAATACATGTAAATTTCTGCTCAGTTTTTACCTTCAAGGGGAGCAGAATGAGGGCTGGATGGTGAAGGGGACTTTTGGACTTTACTCTCTACACTTCTGAATTATTGTGACGCTTTCACAATGAGGCGTTCTTGTAATGCTACTTGTTATTAGATAACAATAAATGAGCTTTTTTAAAACCTATGAAATGAACAAACATATAAGATAAAAGAAGGAGAAGTCAAAAAAAGACATTGGAAACAACTTCTAAGATTTGAGAAACAAAACTAATTAAAAACAGTAACAGTTGCTAGAACCATGTGTGTTCCTCTAAGCAAGCAGGATGGTCACACTGTTGAACTTTAGAACATGAGTGTCCTCTTGTGGCAAAGATGGGTACATTTTAAATTTGTGTCACTGCCACATAGAGTGACTGAGAAGTTTGCCTGATGAAATTCTCTCTCTCCTTTTTTTTTTTTTTTTTTTTTTCAGTTGTAATTTATATAAAAGACTAAAATATTTTGCATTTTAAAATACTAACTCTTTGAAATATATTGTGTATTTTACACTTAGAGCATTTTTTTCAGTTTGAAGTAGCCACAGTGATGCCTTCGGGGAACAGAGAGCTCCTCACTCCAGCCCCACGGCCTGAGGAGGAGGAGGAGGAGGAGGAATCCACTCCCAGGCTGATTGATGGCTCTTCCCTCCAGGAGCCGGAATTCACAGGGGTTCTGGGCCCACACACCAATGAAGGTCAGGTACATCAAAGCAGAATGACAATTGATTCCACTTTGTCATCCTCAAAACTTCAAAGCTTCAACTCTGCAGGGAACTCACATGACATGACTCAAGAAGAAAGTTTTGGAATAGGCTAGGTTTGAAGTAGATTTATACATATATTTTATATTTAAATATAAGGCAGTTTTAATAATTCAGTTTTGGTCTGATTGAAATGATCGAACAACCAAAGATTTGGGATGAAAATATTGGGCATCATTACTAACTGTGTGGTAGAATGTATCTGCAGAACAGAGACTATTTAGGCCACAGTAGTTCAAGGATATAAGGGATGATGAGGATGAAGTTGATGGTAATAGCAATAATACTTTGCACTAATTGAGCATATACTATCTGTGGATCATATGTTCAGTACTTCACATTATCTCATTGGATTATTAAAACCTCCCTGAGAGTGTTAACATTACCCTTTTCATTACCATGGAGAAAACTATAATTCAAAGGGGATAGTAATTTGCCAGGCATCACAAAGCTGTTATATAGTGGGTTTGAAGTCAGCCTGTTCAGATTATTCGTTCTTTATTTATTTAACAACAGGCTTCTTCTCACTCAATCCTAAGAAGCAGCAGAGAGAGGAAAATGTTGCACAACATCAGACACCATGTTGCATGGCTTGCAGATGATTGAAACCAGAGCTGTTTAGTTAATGAGAAGGAATTCTTGGTGCTGAATGTGATTCTATAATATGCTTCTATTTCTTGTTTGAATGTATCACTGTCAACCTTGGAAGACCCAAGAGGACTCACACTGGAATAGTGTTTTTTTTTTTTTTTTTTTTTTGAGACAGAGTTTCGCTCTTGTTACCCAGGCTGGAGTGCAATGGCGAGATCTCGGCTCACTGCAACCTCCGCCTCCTGGGTTCAGGCAATTCTCCTGCCTCA